TAATGAACATATTCAATCTAATTTACGTATTCACTAACTAACATTGTAGACATCATGCAAAAATGTCTAAAGTATTTTTAGGATTTTATGTTTTTGTAATGCAATTAGTATGCAACTAGATGCTAAAAATGCAATTAAAGTCTAAAAATTTAAAAGATGAACGATAAAATATTTTTGACTTTTTTCATGATTTAAAGATATTTCTAATTATGAAAATTGTAAATAAATTCCAAACAAACAAAAATAAAATGGAGAAGAGACTCCTAAAATACTATAAAAGCAATTTAATTTTTTTTGGATTACATTAGTAGTATTTTAAACATGGGGCAAAAATTACGTGCTCACCGCTGCTCCTATTTGCTCGAGAACATGAAGAGTTTTCGGGCAAAGATAAAGTGAGCAGTTCTGAGTAACTTTTGCCCGTTTGATACTCCATGGGAAGCATTTTGAAAAAGTTTAACTGAACCTTCCTTCAGCGGTTGCCTACATATCCTTGGATATAAAAGAATCAGGTCAGTGTAGTTCTGAAAAATTTGATAGCTGGCACTACAAAATCTATGATTTTGCTGTTGTTGCTACTTGCAGAATTCCTTATCACACCAAAATGAAAATCAAAAGAACCTAAACAAGCCTATCAGCTATGAGTTACAAGATTCCTATCTAAAAGTGTTTGAAGCTTGATCTTGAGTCTTGACTGATCTTCACACACACTCTGATCTGAACCTTGATGCTTGGTAGTTGCATGTGCTACTTCATTTTTCTATGGCTTCTTCTGACCAAAACGGGACATGCAATGCTCGTGACATCAGTCATGGCTTGAGTAGTCAACATCTTTTCATCCGCTCCTGCATTTTGGATTTACTTCTTTTCTTTTCTTTTCTTTATTCTTGATTAAGACTTCTTCTTTTGGTCATCTCGAACCCTGTGCCTTGAGGAAAAAACCTGCTTAGCCACCAAAATAAACAAACAAACAAATGAAATTTTTCTGCCCCAGTTTTCACTAGGAAAATTTCGTGAGTTATTTGTAACAAAAACTCTATACTACATTATTGAAAGCAATAAAAGGTTGGGACTTGTGTATCTTGTGAAAACGTGATTCTTTGGTATTGGTGTACCCTGGTTGTCTAAATGGTGTCTCAACTAAGGATTAGTGTACCTTATGTTGGGAAAATGCGGTTAGGGAATAGTGTACCCTATATTAACAATGATATCAGGGAATAGTCCAGCCTTCACATAAGATCAAATCAACTAGGGAGTAGTGTACCTATGTTTGAAACACAACTAGGAATTGGTGTACCCTATATTGGAAAGTATATTTGGGAGTGGTGTACCCTGCATTTAAGATCAATTGGTAATTATATCAGAGAGTGGTGTACCCTACATTTAAGCTCAATCAACTAGGGAGTGGTGTACCCTATGTTGGAAACATAGCTAGGGATTGGTGTACTCTATATTGGTAAGGCGACTAGGGAGTGGTGTAACAGGAAAGATATCAGGGATGGTGTACCCTGCATTTCAGCTCGACTCAACTAGAGAGTGGTGTACCCTATGTTGGAAAACACAACTAGGAATTGATGTACCATGTACTGGTAATCAGACTAGGGAGTGGTGTACCCTCTGTCTAAAATATCATCAACTATAGAGTGGTGTACCCTACGTTGGAAAACACAGCTAGGGATTGGTGTATCCTATACTGGTGAGGAGACTAGGGAGTGGTGTACCCTATGTTGGAAAACACAGCTAAGGATCGGTGTACCTTATGCTGGTGAGGAGACTAAGGAGTGGTGTACCCTATGTCTAAAATACTATCAACTAGTGAGTGGTGTACCCTATGTTGGAAAACACAGCTAGGGATTGGTGTACCCTATACTGGTGAGGAGACTAGGGAGTGGTGTACCCTATGTTTAAAATACCATCAACTAGGGAGTGGTGTACCCTATGTTGGAAAACACAGCTAGGGATTGGTGTACCCTATACCGATAAAGAGACTAGGGAGTGGTGTACCTCATGTCTAAAATATCACCAACTATGGAGTGGTGTACCCTATGTTGGAAAATATAGCTAGAGGTTGGTGTACCCTAATACTTATATGGAGATTAGGGAGTGGTATTCCCTATCTCTAGAAAGATATCAGGGAATGGTGTACCCTACATTTCAGCTCTATCAATAAAGATATCAGGGAGTGGTGTACCCTACATTTAAGACCAATCAACTACGGAGTGGTGTGCCCTATGTTGAAAAAATACAGACAGGGATTGGTGTACCCTATACTAGTAAAGAGACTAGAGAGTGGTGTACCCTATGTCTAAAGTATCACCAACTAGAGAGTGGTGTACACTACATTGGAAAATGCAGCTAGGAATTGGTGACGCTTTACTACCATGACTAGGGAGTGGTGTACCCTATGTCTAAAGTATCATCAACTAGAAAGTGGTGTACACTACGTTGGAAAATACAGCTAGGGATTGATGACCCTTTACTACCATGACTTTTGAATTTAGAGAAAGAGTAAACTGCGGGAAAGAATTTTGAGAAGACTTCCTTTTGCGACTAACCATCACATTTGCGATGACTGGGCAGGAGGGTGACCTTCGCATTTGCGAAGTTCCAGTCGCATTTGCGACTCCAACAGTGTACACACTTGCGAACGGTTGTTCGTATTTGCGAGGTTGACGGGGCAGGCCTTACCCATTCACCCACGAACCCATGTGGGCCCGGGGTCGATTTTTGACTTTTCGGGAAAATCTTTAGAAAACCTATTTTCATGCATTAGAATTGATTCATTTAGAATTTATTGATATCGTTAAGTAAATTGTGGTTAAATACAAGCGAATTGGTGGTGGAAACAAGAGGTAAAGCGGTAGTTGAGGCTTGAATTGTGTTCGTGGCATTAGGGTAAGTGTTTGGTCTAAACTTAGCTTGAGGGATTAGGAGTCGTGTCTTATTTGCTAAGTGTTTATTGTTGAGTACGACGTATAGGTGTGGTGACGAGTATCTATATGTCGGGGTCAAGCATGCCCGTGAGTCTTATACTATGATTGTGGTGACTCTGTTTCGTATTATTCATGTTTTATATGATGATTTTTATTGTTGAACAAGGCTTGTGAAAGCATTATTGGTAACTGAACATTGTAGAGCGTTGGCTCAAGTTGAGAATTGATTTGTGAAGTAATTGTAGAAAAGAGAAGAGGTTTATGATATTGTGAGTCTTATACTATGGTTAATGTGACTCTATTTTGTAGTGTTCGTGTTTTATATGATGGTTTCTATTGTTGAACAAGGCTTGTGAAAGCATTAATGGTAATTGAACATTGTAGAGCATTGGCTCAAGTTGAGAATTGAGTTGTGAAGTAATTGTGGAAAAGAGAAGAGGTTTATAATATTGTCTCCCTTGCCGGGATGTTATTGCTTTTGATATTATCTCCCTTTTCGGGATGTTATTGCTTTTGATATTATCTCCCTTGCCGGGATGTTATTACTCATGATATTGTTTCCCTCGTCGGGATATTATTGATATGCATTTGTTCCCTTGCCGGGATTGTATTGTGATATATTGATTTTCTTGCCCAAATTGCTTTGTAATTATTGCTTGGGCGAGGAAGAGTGTAAAGCACGAAGGGTGATGCCTTGCGTGAGTTTGAGAGTGTTAATGCACGAAGGGTGATGCCGTGCCGATATTGTGAGGTAAAAGCACGAAGGGTGATGCCATGCCGCACGATGTAAAATGTCGTGCCATGATATGAGTGATATGCACGAAGGATAATTCCGTGTCATGATTATGTGAGGTAAAAACACAAATGTCGTGCCGATTATATTGATTCATATGGTGAGGAAGAGTGATAAAGCACGAAGGGTGATGCCGTGCACATTGACATTTATATTGATTCTTATCGTGAGGACGAGAGTAAAAGCACGAAGGGTGATGCCATGGACTTGTCTTTGATTTCCTGATTCTTGTTGATAATTTAATTATGGTGTTATTTACATTTATCTATTGGTTTTCTGTTGTTACTTGATATTCCCCGCAGCATGTTTTCCCCCTCCTATCTTTACTTGTAAATTTCTGCCTTTACTTTTTCGCTGTATAAGATTTAACTGCACAGGTTTATTTGGTAGTCTGGTCCTAGCCTCGTCACTACTTCGCCGAGGTTAGGCTAGGCACTTACCAGCACATGGGGTCGGTTGTGCTGATGCTACACTCTGCACTGTGTGCAGATCCCGGTGCTGTAACTTTTGGACCACAGTGAGGTCGCTGCCTTCAGTCTAGTGGCGGAGACCCGAGGTAGTCCTGCAGGCGTCCACAGGCCTTGGCGTCTTCTTCTATCTTCCATACTGTTTTTTTTATGTACTTCAGAAACAGTGTTGTATTTATCTTTCGAACCCCTATTTGTAGTATTCTTACACAGTCTGTGAGATTGTGACACCAGTTCTGGGTAGCTTATGTTTATGGATTGGTATCGGTATTATTATTAAATTGTTACATTTCATTCTTCTGCTTTATTATTTCTGCTGTTTATGTAATGTTTATTCACAATTGTTAAGAGATTAAAAATGAAAAGGGTTTAATAATTGGAATAATTGGCTTGCCTAGCTTTCATTAGTAGGCGCCATCACGACTCCCGAGGGTGGAAAATCCAGGTCGTGACAGAGAAAGAAAGCCTTTTTCATCCCAATCAGAGAATGTTAAAGCTGTGTAAAGGGTCAAACATAATACCTCTTGACCGTGTCTGCATTGACAGCTGTCTCGGGACATTTCCTTTGATGTCTCCCAAATATAGCGCTCCCTTTGGCAACACTCTTGTTACAATATATGGAACTTTCCAATTTGGAGCAAATTTTCCTTTGGCTTCTTCATGATGCGGGAGAATACATCTCAAAACGAGTTTCCCCACTTCGAATTTTCGGGGTCGCACTTTCTTGTTGTAGGCACGAGCCATTCTTTGTTGGTACAGCTGCCCGTGGCAAACTACGGCCATTCTCTTTTCATCAATCATAGTCAATTATTCCAAACGGGATTTGACCCATTCATCATCCTCCATCTCGGCTTCAACAATGATCAGAAGAGAGGGAATCTCGACTTCGGTGGGTATTACGGCTTCAGTGCAGTAAACCAATAAGTAAGGGGTAGCCCCACCTGATGTGCGCATGGTAGCGCAATATACCAATAATGCGAAAGGCAACTTTTCATGCCACTGTCTGGAACCCTGAACCATTTTCCTGAGAATCTTTTTAATGTTCTTGTTTGCAGCTTTAACATTGCAGTTAGCTTAGGGCTGATAAGAGGTAGAATTATGATGCTTAATTATAATTTGTTCGCATACCTCCCTCATTAGGTGGCTATTCAGATTTGCAGCATTGTCTATAATGATAGTTTTAGGAATACCAAGACGAAAAATAATGTTGGAATGAACAAAGTCCACCACTGCTTTCTTAGTGAGAGCTTTGAAAATGACTGCTTCAACCCACTTTGTGAAATAATCAATGGCAACCAAGATGAACATGTGCCCATTTGAAGGTTTCGGCTCGTTTGGCCCAATAACATCCATGCCCCAAGCAACAAACGGCCATCGTGCTGATATAGGATGTAACTCTTGTATCTGAGGATTTTCTTTACAAGGACATACCCGTTCATGTGAGGCCCACATGTTCCGGAATACACTTCGTTCACGATCCTTTCAGCTTCTCGAGAATCTATTCACCTCAACAGATTCAGATCTGGAGTTCTTTTGTATAGGATCTCCCCACTCAAAAAGAAACTACTTGCAAGCCTTCTGATAGTTCTCTTTTGATCTCCACTGACCTGCTTGGGATATTCTTTCGTTTTCAAGAACCTGTTGATATCATGATACCATGGCTCACCATCTGGCTCCATTTCAACCGCGTTACAATAACCATGCCTTTATTTCACTTGAATTTAAAGTGGATCAATCATAACATTACCCGGGTACGACAACTTGGAGGCCAGGGTAGCTAGTGCATCAGTTGGCTCATTGTGGAAACGAGGAATATACTTGAACTCGGCGGACTTAAACCATTTACTGAGATCTTCCACATGTTGCCTGTAAGGGATAAGCTTGATGTCTCTATTTTCCCACTCGTCTTGGGCTTGCCAAATGATTAAATCAGATTCCCCCATGATTAATAACTCTTGTACATCTAGATCAACCACCATATTCATGCTCATAATGCAGGCTTCATACTCAGTAGTGTTGTTTGTGCAAACGAACCGAAGTTGGGCAATGGTCGGATAGTGCTGACCTGTGGGCGAGATTAGAATTGCCCCAATCCCTACGCCTTTTGTCTTTACAGCCCCATCAAATAACATTTTCCAGGAATTGATGTTCTTTGGAATTATTTCAATTCAGTTTACTCCCTTATTCGGAAAATAAGTTCTTAAGGGTTGGTATTCATCGTCGACTGGGTTCTCAGCTAAATGATCTGCCAAGGCTTGAGCTTTCATTCCACGCGAATGACATAGACAATGTCGAACTTGGTGAGCAGGATCTTCCACTTTGCTAACCTTCCAGTGGGCATTGGCTTTTGGAAAATATACTTCAAAGGATCCATCTTGGTTATGAGATATGTTGTGTAAGCCAGCAAGTAATGTCTCAGCTTTTGGGCGACCCAAGTTAGGGCGCAACAAGTTCTTTCCAACAAAGTGTACTTGACTTCATAACCGGTAAACTTCTTGCTCAGATAATATATGGGTTGTTCTCTTTTCCCGGTTACATCGTGTTGTCCCAGGACACAACCGAAATTTTTTTCCAAGGCCGTCAGATATAAGAACAAAGGTCTTCCCGATTCGTGCGGGACCAACACCGACGGATTTGACAGATTTTTTTTTATTTTATCAAAAGCCTCTTGACACTCATATGTCTATTTGATTGTCGCGTCTTTCTTCAACAACTTCAATATGGGCTCACAAGTGGTGGTAAGCTAAGCGATGAATCTGCTGATGCAATTCAATCTCCCTAGTAGACTCATGACCTCTTTCTTGCTCTTCGGATGTGGAAAATCTCAAAAAGACTTTATCTATGTTAGTTCCAATTCGATACCCCTCCGACTGACTATAAGCCCCAAGAGTTTCCCATATTGAACTAAATGCACATTTAGCTGGGTTTAATTTCAAGTCGTACTTGAGCAGACGCTCAAAGAACTTCCTCAGATCTCACACATAGTCTTCTTGCGTTCTAGATTTAATGATCACGTCAAACACATATACCTCAATCTCTTGATGCATCAAGTCATGGAATATGGCAGTCATATCTCTTATTTAGGTTGCTCCGGTATTTTTCAGACCAAACGGCGTGCCGTTGTAACACTAAGTGCCCCAAGGTGTTGTAAAAGCAATCTTTTCTGCATCTTCTTCATCCATTAGAACCTGGTGATACCCAGCATAACAATCTATGAAAGACTGTATCTCGTGTTTAGCATTGAAAAGTTGTCTTTGGGACTCGCCTTATTCAAATCCCGACAATCAACAAAAACTCGAGTTTTTCCGTCTTTCTTTTGCACCAGTACCATATTAGCCAGACATGTGGTGTATCGAACCACTCGGATCAGACCAGCTTTCAATTGTTTGGTGACATCTTCCTTGTTCTTATCACTGATGTCAGTTTTGAACTTTCTTTGCTTCTGTTGGACAGTTGGATAACCGGGATAGGTAGGAAATTTATGTACCACCAAATCAACACTCAGCCCTGGCATATCATCATAAGACTATGCTAACACGTCTTAGAATTCAAACAAAAGTTGGATCAAAACATCTCTAGTTCTCTCATTAGCGTGAATGCTTATCATGGTTTCTTGGATCTCTTCTGAATTGCCCGAATTAACTGGCTCGGTTTCATTTACGTTCGGCATAGGCTTATTCTCAAATCGTTCTAATTCTCGATTAATTTCGCTAAAAGCCTCATCTTTATCATATTCCGACTCTTGATTCATTATTTCAATATTAGACACCATATTAGGATCTGAGCATGAAGTCCGTAAGCATGTCATGATATTAAGGTCCGCAATATAGAACTAAAAGAAAAAAGATGAGAAAAATAGCAAAATTAGAAAATGAAAGAGAATAAAAAGACATTTATGAAAGATGAAATATTGATTCCATTTCATTGAACTGAAAGATAGAAGGGTTTGCATCAAAATTTAAAGGCAGTAAAGTAAAACATTCGTGTTACACCCTGAAATAACCCATAATGCAGAAAAGATAGCAAGACCGAACTACCCGGATTCCTGCCTGATGGGGAACGGGGTAGCCTCCCAGTTCTGGAGCTTGAAATTTTGTCCCACATACTGCACCTCGGCGCGGCTCGTGCCTTCCCCTAGCTAGACCACATGGGGTTTATATATCATTTGTTTCAAAGCTCCGCAGATATCATCAATTTCTTCAGTCGTGAAGGCCTCTTCTTCTTCCTCCACGTACTTTGTTTGACAAATGATTGGGCGAGATGTGTAATGGGATGTGAAAGGACCCACCCGTTTTCTTTGCGGTTGTCAGCCCATGTTATGTCAGCCTCTATAGCTCAGAAACCCAATCCAAAAGACTTCTCATTGACGATCGCGAAATGGACTCAGTATTGCCATGCAGAGATGTTACGAGCTATTTTCTGGGCTTGTACCCATTTCTGATCATTTGGGTGGCAAACATAATTGAGCCATTAGACAAACAAGGTTGAGGTAGCGGGGCTCCCCTTCAAACTGGTGAGCGACCACAATTTCAAAAGCTTGATACACAGTTTGCTCACTGCCTTTCCTGGCTTCAAGACACTGGACCGAGTGGTCCCGATAAATAGATTTCTCATCTTTTCCATGGACAATGATTTCTTGATTGTCATACTCAAACTTGACCATCTGGTGGAGAGTGAAAGGAACAGCTCCAGCGGCGTGAATCCATGGTCTGCCTAGAAAGAAATTGTATGAGGTTTCCATGTCCAAGACTTGGAAGGTCACCTCAAAGTTGAGAGGGCCAATAGTTATGATTAGATCAATTTCTCCGATTGTGTCCCTCTTGACCCCATCAAAAGCTCGTACATATACATTGTTGGCCCGTATTCTTTCTGTATCAATTTCCATCCTCTGGAGCGTTGAGAGAGGACAAATATCTACTCCAGACCCGCCATCCAAAATTACCCTTTTCACATAGTATCCCTCGCATTTAACAGTCAGGTGGAGGGCTTTGTTGTGGGCAATTCCCTCTACAGGAAAATCATCACGGCCGAATGAGATCTTATTTTCCTCAAAATATGTTTCTGCCATCCTTTCCACTTGTTGCACAATAGTTTTAACTGGGACATACACTTAATTCAAAGTTTTGAGGGGAACTTTTTGGTGTTCATCTGAACTCAACAACAGAGATAGGAGTGAGATCTGGGAGGGAGTCTTCCGAAGTTGATCGACGATTGAGTACTCCGAAGTTTTCATCTTCATAAAGAACTCCTCCGCTTTTTCATTGCTCACGGGTTTATTTGGTGCCATCTATTTGTCCCTGTTCTGTTTGGATTTTCTTAGCTCATTCGGGGTATGGTACCTCCCAGACCGAGTCATCTCATTTACTTCCCCCCATAACTTGTTTCCCTTTGTATGTGACAATTATCTTGCTGTAATTCCAAGGGTCGTAGTAGCATCTTTCATAGGACTTTGTGGTGCTGTACTAATAACCACGGGCTCTATCAGCATTGGTGAAATTACTGGCCCCTACACCACATGTGTTCCCTTCGGTACATACAACCTTGGATCATTCAACGTAACTTTCCTTTCATCAAACTTCTTTGGAGTGTTGAGGACAAGCTATTCTTTTCTCGGGGCTTTTGGAACATAAAGAACCAAATCCTTGGCAGGTGCCGGCTCAACTTTTGTTTTAACGGCCTGAGGAGCTTGAGCTACTTTATTTTCAATTTTGGCCGGTTTTGCTGCTACTGTAGGTCTTGCCTCTGAACTAGCGATGGCAATAACGGCCTTCAACGCTATGTCAAATTCTTTGTCATCACAGATCAAACTAATAAGTGGACTGTTATTATGAGAAGGCAATGGATTATTGGTCATATTGGGGACCTCTACGTCCCTCAGCACGATTCTTTTCGCTTCAATCAAGTCTTCAATCGCTCTCCTGAGGGTCCAGCACTCTTCTATATCATGTCTTACCACCCTTGAATGGTACCTGCATCTGGCATCAGCTCTGTGTGTTCGAGACACGGGGTTTGGTCGACTTGGAGCAACAGGTTGCAACAACCCCAATTGGATTAACTTCTGGAGCAAAGTTGATTAAGATTCACCATTTTGGATGAAATTGTTTCTTCTAGGAGGCTCTCGCGGGCGTGGATTATATTGGGGTATATTTTGTGGTGGGAAAGGATTATATGGATCTTGGTAAGGACAGTGATTTCTAGGAGGTGGAGCTCAGTTTTGATTATAGTTTTGCTGGGGCCGTATATAGAGTTGTGCATTCATCACCGCATACGGAGGCGGTGCCACGGCGTACGCAGTGTCATGGTGCGGGTAGTAATGTTGTGGGGTTCGGGGTGGCATATAAGAATGGTTAAACGATCGGCAAGACCCCCTTGAGCTCGAAGCCATTATGGCTCCCTCTTCTCTCATTTTGCGATTGGCTAGACCCCTCGAGCCGTTCTGGATGGCTTGTGATGTAGCTTTAAGGGCGGCTTGACTCAATATTTGTCCGTTGTCAACCCGTTCTCAACCATTTCCCCAATCTTTATTGCTTCAGCAAATGGTTCACCATGGTGGACATCATGTTCGGGAAATAATACCTCTTGGGCTTGCAAGAAAACCATAACTATTTCTGTCTCATCCATTAGTGGCTTCACACGGGTGGCCTATTAGCACCACTAAACAACATACTTGCGGAAAGTT